TACTTGCTATTGCTGTGGGAGAATGTTTGCTGGTGAAAGAGTAGATCAAGAGTTACATTGCAAAGTATCTTATCGTATCATACAGCCCTTACCTATACTTATTGGCGAGAAGTTACGTCTGCCTCCTTTCCAAAGTTCAGGCTAAGGCGACTAGATTAATAATGCCTTCCCTTCATGTACATCTGATTTAGTGGAAGAATTTACCGACTTCATGAAATATTTCATCTTAACTTCTTTTATTTATCATTATATTACATTGGACTGTGGGTAGAATACGTGGATGTATGTACGATAACATTTGTGCTCTAAATGAGCTGAGGAAATGCCTCGTAATAAATCAATATAATTTGTTATTCTTTCCCAAATTGATAACATACTGGAGACCGTGATTTATTCGTTTGTACAAGATTTTATTTTATAGATGATTTAGCTAGTGGTTAAACGAATTTTAGCATAACTCATATCTGAAATACCCCTATCCTTAGATGAAACCACTCTTAGTGTTAAGATTCGAATGAACTCTACCCAACCTAATTTTCTTCACTTTGCCGACTCCATTTTTCATTATCACACTATGCCCATTTGTTTCGCTCTTCCACTTTTTTAAAACCTTTCTAATCACCTTTCCTATTTAGCGCCCATAAGGATGACCTCGATTTGCTCTTTCTGATAGTTACGGGTGCTGGCCAACTGCGTAGCGTTACTGGCCTCCAGACTTGTCTTAGAAACCACCTAGCCTCCTTGGCCGAGTCAGCACCAGTCGCTTGGCACCGGCGTCTCTTTCTACACTATGTCTTTTTGGTGTCGCAACGATATCATGTTCAACATGCTTCCATTCAGTTATCACAACTATCATATCAGCAAAGTGACGATCAGGAGCTAATGGATTCAATCACGAATGTTCCACTTGGGAGGTCTTCACCTCAGAAGACCTCAGAACAGTCCTTTTTACCTTTGGCGGAAGCCGATGATGGAGCTGTAGAGCCGGTAAGGAAACCAGCGATTTTAGCTATCAATTTATATTTTTCTTCTTCCTTATAATAATACATTGCCTGTGTTTCTAGGTCTGAAATTTACCACTTACTTTCATGCATCTTACTAAATTCGACTCATTTACTGAATTTAAAAGCTGTAAATAAGCTGAGTGTATTCCTTAAATGTGTCATTATATGCTGTCCTTTTGCCTCTTATTCATACTTTCTATAGCCCTTAGCTTTCGTGATGGATTGGCTCTTTTGCTATTTGTTTGACGGCCTATGCAACTTGAAGCGAATTGACAGCAAAATTTATTGTAGAAAAATTGGGTTTTCGGAAAATTCCTTAATAGATTGATGTTGGAATATGTTTTATTTCGTTTGAAGGGGCAAGTGGAAGGGATTTGTAAGTTGCCTTAGAGGTGTGCTTGTAGATTTATGCGAGTAGGTTTTCGGCACACCGCCCTGAGACCCCGAGGAATCCTTGAAGGACTGCCGTCCGTCATGTGACGGACATCTTTAGAGCAGGACATCATGCTCAACGATAATTCATCAAAACACGAAGGCAAGAAAGATGGCTGGCTTCAAACCTACTTCTTTCTTATATTCCAATTTGGTCCATTTATGCATCTCATGTTTTGGTTGGATGTCTTATGCTTTGTCTCTATATTTGCTCATTAGTTAAGTTAAGTGACTGCGGTTGACATGTGAAGTTGCTACAGATGAAGCGTGAAATGGGTGCAATTGAAACTGAACAGTTGCATACTCTCCTAAAATACTTATGACTTTGATCCTGCAATGTTACCGCATTTGATTGCTTCCGATTGCT